GTCATTAGAATGGTCCAAAATCTATACAAAATAATGTTCATCTTTTTACCATCGAGCTATGTCGCAAGGAAATAAACTTACACATCCAAAATTCCAAATTAAACATAAAATCAACAATTGAGAAATTTCATATAATTATTCTTTTAAAATTATGATTTGATATAAAAGTATAATTTTTTGAGGTTTTCATGCAACGATTTATTCTGAACTTATATCAAAGCTAAATCTTCATATACGTCAAAAACATAATTCGAGAATTTATCACAAATTAGAGAATTTTGCTAAAGGATCAAAACATGCAAAGGGTAAAAAAAACACTAACCTGGAAAAATAAAAAGAAAAAATCATTAAAAAGAGCGAGAGGGATATGAAAAGCTTCGGCTTGAACCAGAGACACTCTCCTGATCTCATCTTCGTCTTCTTTATTCAACCTCCTCACTCCCCAACCGTGTTGACTCACCACATACTTCAACTCTATCTCCGCCGCACCATTCTGAGTCAAACTCGTCAACGACTCGGTCGATGCGCACCGTACGGTCACCGGAAAACGATTCCACGTCAGCTTCCGTGATCCGTGACCGGAATTTACAGGATATGGAAGAAACTCTGGTCTAGCGGTGGTAGAGTAGAGGCTCTGTGGCAAGTGAGCCATCTTCATTTTTCTAACATTATTATTTTTAAAAAATGTTAGTATTCTCATTTTCGTGCATTACTTTTTTATAACAAATACAAATCTCAAAATGTTGAGATAAGATACGCTTACTTACTTCCATCTTGGTTTTTTTCTGTGGTCGGAAATCTTCGCTAAGTGAGGACCATTACATGATTTTTTTTTTTCTTTTTGTAATGACAGAAAAAATTTATTATAAATTCTTATGATTCCTAAGAAATTCCCAAAGAGTTTTATCTTTTGGATATTATATATAAAAGAATTTTTTTTTGTCGTATATATAAAAGAAATTAATAGTGAAGTAGTAGTGTTCTTCTTCTTTTTTTGGTCGTAGTAGTGTTCTTCTTTTTACAACTAAACAAAGAGTGGTAAGAAAAAGACAAAGAGGCAAAATTAAATTTATTTTGTTGGGTTCGATTTCCACCAAAAAAACTTCTATAGTCAAAATAATATTAGATTTTAAATTTTAAAAAATTAGACAATAAGCTATTCAACGATCACATTTATTTTAATATAAAAATTATATTATTTTAACCAAATAGTGGTGGCCACTAGTAAAAATTTTAAATGTGATAAAAGTAAAACCAACCTTTATATAAAAAAACTGTCGAAGAAAGGCTTTGTACGAGTCGAAGAAAGGCTTTGTACGAGAGTAATTGGGCCGGGCCCAAAACAAGTTGTCCCTGGCACGTGTGATATAATTCCATTGGCAGCCTCCCGCACGGGTATATCGTATCCTTTCCATTGAACAGATTCGCCGTAAAATTTCCAGAGAAGTCGTTCGTTCATCATTTGCAGTTTCTCGATTAATTCCGATCATGGCGTTGAACACCGGAGTCAGATCTGTCTCAAGGATCATTGCTTCTTCCGAATCATCTGTCTCCAGATCTGGTCAGTACCACTCCAAAAACACTCTCTGCTTGTTTGGTTTCTCATTTCCTTGTTTTTGTTTGATTGCCCTGAAATCGAATTCTCTGTTCCCTGATACGGTACGGATTTGACTGGCTTCTGTTTTCGTTGTATGGATTTGGGATTTTGATGGATTTTGGGGTTACAAATTTTGTTATAGAACATGAGCTCGCTCCTTGACACGCCTTAATGATTATCTAATTTGTTTCTGTGGAACCAATGAATCACATAAGCAAAATTTTTGCGGAACTGATTGTTTAGCTGATGAAAAATCTCAATTTGGGTTTTTTTTGTTTCACTTATGTACTTCTGGAATTGTATCTCATATGAAATTTTCATCGTTGTGCTTCGATAGTTTTTGATTAATCGGTCAAAGGCTCGGTTTTTCTGCAAGCATGTTTACCATCTCAAATGTTCAAACACCATACATTTATGTGTATTTGTGTCGTATCGGTAAAGCTCTACTACTAGGATCAGCTTGTTTTGATATATTTCTATAAGGCCAGTCAGACACATTTTCTAACCCCTATGAGCCTGATTGGTACATTTTTTTCCTTGTGGTGATCATATCAACAGTGAGCAGAAGCTTCCACTCGACTGGAGCTAAGAAGATGAGCGGAGGACATGGCCATGATGAGCCTTACTACCTCCACGCAAAGCACATGTACAATTTGGACCGCATGAAGTACCAAGGTCTCAAGATGTCTCTCGCTGTCTTCACCGCTTTCAGCATCGGTGTTGGGGTTCCTATCTTTGCAGTCGTCTTCCAGCAGAGGAAGACCGCATCTGGTTGAGTCTCTTATGGCGCGGTTGTCCGCAGCTTGAATAATTTGTATGAATTCTCAAACTCTGCTTTTGCAAGAGAGTTTCTTGTTTCTTTTGCAACTTGCAAGTCTTATCATTATGGTAAAGTTTCTGTTTCTTCCTCCTTTGATGCTGGAATAATGATAATCCGAGATGGATGCCTTTATTTTTGGTTATTTTGATTGGAATTGAAAGCTTTGTTTGAATATTTGGTTGGTAGCAAATCTCCGAGAAAAGCCAAAGATAGATCAATATATTCACATATTCATTAATCAAAAGCACAAATCAAAAGAAAAGATGAAATCCAGAAAACACACACAAAAAACCCCACAAATGATGTGACAAATCTGTTCAAAAGCTTTAAAACCACATCTGTTTCACCATATTTGTCATTCGAATGTCTCAGGCATGGCAGCATTTCAACCGCTAAAACATGTTTTACAAATTGGAGTTTCTAATCACCCAGCGGTATCCTCCTAACCGCAGATCGCGAATCTTTAAACGCGAATGTTCATTGAACGTCATGAGGTGGTTTCATCACTTCTTGTCATCCTCACCATTTTCACTACCTTGTGTCTGGTTTGGCTC